AGGTTCTTTCGGTGGGATCGTTCCTCGGTGCTCATATCCGACTATTTCGACTACAAGCAGGACCTCGAACCGTTTTGGCAGTTTCTGGCGGGATTCGGTGCCCAAGGGTACTGCGGTAGCGGCGTGGACCCTACGATCAATTTCGAATCGCGCCCAGACGGCCACGTCGAGCTCCTTCGGGAAAAGATCAAGAAGGCGAGGGCGAAACGATTAATTTCGGAGGAGGCCGAGATGCTGGACGACAACACCCTGGTGGCGCAGAGCAGTACGATCATGGTACCGTCAAAGTCTGACGATAAAGTGGAGCAGTACATCACCGTGGGTCCGCCGCTCTTCACCTCGACGGCGATGCTCGGCCGAGGGACGTGTACCTGGCTCGCTTTCCCTGTCCCAGGCACTGTGGAAAATCCGGAACGCAGTAACGAGGATCATTTTGTTATCATCAAAGACTCCTGGCGCGACCCGTCTCGCAGGCTCGAGGGTGAAATATACAAGATCATCCATGCTGAGGGGCCTGTTCCGGGTGTAGCAAGGCTGCGCAGCGATGTGGATCTGATTGACCCTCCCGACCCGGATAGCGGAATGCATCGGACGATTGCTCACCTCCTTAATAAGCACTACGGACCTCGCAAGTGTCCTCCGCGCGTCCATCATCGCTGCGTCCTTGATTCCGTGGGGATCCCACTGAGTCGCTTCTCTTCCACTCGTGAAGCGATGGAGGCGATCTATGATAGTCTTCTAGGTGAGTACCCTCGTTTCCTTGTCGTCCCTCCATGGCTTATGGGAGCGTCAGGTCATGAGAGGATGGGCGAGAAGAAAATTCTCCACCGGGATATCAGCATTAACAATATCATGATTAGCGCCTATCCCGATATGGAAAATTGCAAAGGTTTTCTCATTGATATGGAATATGCCACCGTGATCGGTGAACCCGGAAGTGATGGAGATTTGCGGGAAATCACGGTAAGCACGCTGCTCTGGTCCAAGCAGTATGGTCTCACTACTAACGAGGGATGTCTTCCAGGGAACTGTGCAGTTCCTATCCGTTGCCCGAATACGGGAACCAGGACAGGATGTACCTGCTCACGCCACCTGGAATGACTTGGAGTCGTTTTTCTGGTCTACCGCATACCTTTTCATCCATCACAGGCCCCATACCTTGTCGGTGGACTGGATCAAGCGTATCTTCTGCGGCGCAGATATCGCTCGGAGAACTCACTTCATTCGAGTAGAGGTGAAGAATATGAAGGTTCTCCGTGGCAATCACCATAGCAGCGAAGTGTACGACACGAAGAAGGCCGGAGAACTCGACGAAGCATCAATCAACATACCAGTGACTAGGTGTATCCACCGTCTCGCTGGCCTCGTGGCGACCCACTACCAAGATGAATGGATCTACGAGCGATACTATGACAATGATCCTGATAGTTTCTACCAGCTGCAGACCCACCAACACATCAAGCTGGCTTTTCGTGAAGCTCTGGATTCCAATAGCTGGCCGGAGCCGGATGATAGTGCTACAGCGTTCCGTCGCATTCCCATCTCGAAGAAGCGTGTTGCCCAAGACACCGCAGCGAACCTCAGGACCGGCACTGGGTCTCACCCGGCTTCCGGACGCAAGACTCGGAGCAAGCGAAAGCGAGAAGGCAATGATGGGAAGGACAACTCTGCGAAACGCGCCCGTAATCGCGAGGCCGGGGATGCAGCTACGGAGAGTGCGGTCACGGAGGGTGCGAGCACTCAGGGCGCGGTACTGGAGGCATCGGGCGTGCACGCTTCGGCGGGGGGTAAAATTCAGGATCGCCTTCCCGCTATCTTGGACTAGCGTCAATGTGGATAGGGCGGGAGGCACAGGGACGGTATTGCGATCGCTCTTGACTAAGACTTCTCGATTCCTGGCGTGCGGGTGACTGGTAGGTATTCATGCTATATCCAACTCGTTCTTGTGTATCTATGGTTCCAGGCGTCGCTATTGTGTAGGAAGCCTTATATTATTTGAGAGCATAGTATCTTATCATGGCTCCTGGGGTCGACCGGAGCGTACGGGCGGTTCGAAGCCGGCGCAGGTATTGCTTCTCAAGAGAGTGGATCTGTCTAGTTATCCAGCTCCCAGCATCTTAGTTCCCAAATTGTCTACTAACTGAAGCCCGGCGCCTTGTCTCCGATCTCTCTCGGCCCTTGCCCGGAGTACATAGCGTGTCGCCGCTCGCCCGTCTCCCACTCGGCCCTGTCTCTCTGCTCATCAATGTTCGCGGGGAAAAGTACGACATGGGGCACTCACGCGAAGGCAATACCGAGGGCCATGATCTCTGTCGTGTCTCGGTGGAGAAGCTGAATGAGTGTCCACGGAGGCCCGAGAGCATGCACGTCCGGAGGGGCACCGGGAAGCGTCCGCCAAGTAGACGTTCAACGAGAATCATCCTGCGAAGTCGTCAACACCGATGCCTGATCATTCGTATTGCCACTCCATGCTCTCGACCGGCCTCTACCTGATCAAACCTGATCGGCGCAGCGAATACAGAGGGACGAGCCAAGCGACTATTCGGGGGGAAGGGGTCAGTGTCGCTGCCTGCGGCACAGAGGGACGATCCAAAACATTTCACGCCGTCATTGATGTTAGTGGCGAAGTCAAGGGAGAGAATTTTAAGGGTCCCGGCCGTAATAAACGGGATTGCTTTTTGGGGCGGTCAAGCCAAAGAGCCAATGCAAATACGAGTAACACAACGGCTAAGGAATGCGGAAACCTTGATGCCGGTAAGCAGACAGTAGACATAAGAAACTCTGTGAGATTTGACTTTTCGGGCGTAGAAGTTGAAAGACAGCGCGGGGGATTCAGACGTTGGTTGAGCAATGAAGGACGGTTAATGAGTCTTCTTCTGCTGTGTGTGATATATTCTGATATTTAAGAGCAGAGGCAGAGCAGGAAAGTGGCGTAAGTATGACTCCAAGCTCAGGCAGGTCTTCCGAGTCGCCTGTGGCAGAATACGCGGTCACCTGATCCATTTACCACGCGAGCGTGTCACGTGCCCAGTCAACCGCGTTCCTCGGCTCTCAACCGCGTCCGTCCGCTGTCCACCACCTCCGCTGCGTTGCCACTATCGGCTCATAAGCCTCAAGCTATGGACGCCAGCGAAGTCGGACGCTATGGCACTCTCAAACTTATGAAACGTAACGACCCTAGTGCGGTAGCAGCGGTGTTTCCTATCGACGAAGAGGAGATTACTTTCGGACGAGATGTCAAATGCGACGTGAGACTGTACTACGACTCTGTGAGCGCGGTGCATTGTAAGGTTATGTTCCAGGAGCGAAAGGTGCGACACAGTCGAATATGCACACTGCATTCGTCAGAACATTTGACAGGCATTCCTTGTGGTGCTCGGTACAAACGGAGTCTGGGTGGACGACTCACCCGTATACCCTTCGTCCAACCCCGCGTCTCCGGCTACCATCCCTTTATCGACGAACTCGAAGATCGAAATCCACAAGAAACTATTCATATTCCAGTACCCGCCGAAGGAGCTTCGCCCGATCCTCATTGCCACCCCAGCCCGCCCAGGCAAAGTCCGCATGAGCATGATCCACAGCGCACAGGTATTCACCCCGAGGCCGAGCGACGACCCAAGAGAGAACCTGAGGCTGCTGCAAAGCCCCGTCAAGTCTCCAGTCAAGGGCGAAGAAATCGTGCTCGTGGACGGCAACCACCCGCGGGTCACGCAGGAAGAGAACGATCTCGTTATCCTCGAAGATGTGCCCCAAATCCCCCGCCCTGCTCCGGTGCTCAGCACGCCGTCGAAGCCACCCGTGTTCCCGCCAAGGACCCCTGTGTACCGGACTCCGCGGCCAGCGCGTCCGCCCCGGCCGTCGCTGCACCGCGCGGTCCTCATACGCTCGGCACAGCGCACGGCCCTCAGGGTGGAGATCGAGCGAGAGACGGAAGAGGAGAAGGAGGTGGAGGAGGTCGTGGCTGGTATCCTGGAGGACGACGAGGATGAGGAAATGGACGGCGGCGATGATGTGCGGATGGATGACGAGGAGGAGGACTCGCCCTCTCGTCCTTCACGGGCGTCTGGGTGGCAGAGGCCATTCGAGGCTGTCCGTGGACTCTTGAGGTCGCTGAGCAGAAGCCCGGAGAGACAGCTACATGCTGAGGACGAACATGATGAAGACGATAACATGGATGTAAGGATCCGGTTTCTTATCATTCCTTCCGTGTGCTCATTTTGTACGTACAGGAAACGGAGGACGCAACAAAGCACGAAGAAGAGCAGGAAGATCAAGATGAATACACCCCAATGTATCCTGACCTCCCGACAACGCCTTCACCGGCAGGCACGTCTGCAGAACACGACCAACCCGCTGTCCCGCAACCGCATTTTAAAACTCCCGAGCAGGGCCAACGTCTGCAATTCATGACACCGCAAGCCCAGCGCCCTCCGCCAGGCGCGCGCGTCTTCACCCCCCCGCGTACAGCCCTGCGGCCAAGCCTTGGGAAGGCCGCATATGATGGACCCAGGAGGGTGAAGGTCGAGCCCCCGTGGAAGGTCAAGGATATCGCGGTTGCTGTAGGCAAGGAAGGAGATGGAATGGGGACGGCGAAGGCAGAGGATGGCTTCGCCCTCAGCCCGAGGAAGAGGGAGAAGGTGGATGAGGCCGAGAGGAAGGTACGCGACGCGTGCTTCGTCCTCGTCCATGTGATGGTCTCATGAGTTACGCATAGGCGATCCTGGAACGTCGTCGGTCGGCGCTGCACATGCCGGATCCGTTCTTCGGCGGCCAGATACCGGGCGTGAGGAGGGTTGGGAGCGTCTCGCCCGCCAAAGCTCCGGCCATGCAAGGTGAGCAGCCAGAAATGAAGAAGGAGGAGGCGAAGGAAGGCGACGAGGACGCGCGGACGTTGTTGGAGAAGGTTAAGGAGGCGAACGAGGATATGAACAGGCGCCGCAGCGCGCGGTTCGAGCAGCTGGCGGTCACCCCCAGTCCTGCCAAGAAGGGGAAGGCTAGGTTCAGCCTGATTGCCCCCGACGCGATGCCGATGGCGAACTTCTACCAAGGCGCGCAAGATGAGGACGAGGATATCGCGATGAGCGACGCTCAGGAGGATGAGCCTCCGCAGGAGGACGTCGAGCAGGCCGAGCAGCATGCCCAACCTTCTGACAGCGTTCCACGGACCCCTCGATTGGATCTCAGACATCTATTCGGCCAGCAACATCAGCCTGCTTTACAAACTCCGGCCGTCCGAGGCGTGCGCGACTTGTTCGTGCACAATGCCATCGTGGGTGATCCAAGCGCCTCACCGAGGATGGACGGGGTGAGGAATATGTTCTTGCCGGAGAAGGAAATGCCCTCGGCCGTTCTCGATGGGGTGGGCGATATGATGGCGACGCCTGAAGGGTGGAAAGCGAACGCCGCTCCTGAGCCCGAGCCAGAACCAGAGGCGGAGCTGGAAGCCGAAACGGCAGGTGACGTTGAAATGGAAGAAGAGCCACCCGCCTCAAACCCAAGAGCTAGAAAGACCCCTGCGGCGGCGAAGTCCAAGGCGACGCGGAGCACTCAGATCCCCAAGACTGCCGCGCCGACCAGGAAGAGGGTCGCGCGTACACCTGCTACGGGTGCCTCACAGCTGGCTGATGACGAGGCCACGCCTCAGACTAGGGGACCAAGCAAGTCCACCGCGGACACTGATGACGAAGTTGACGTAGCGGGAAAATCCAAGGCCTCGGTTAAAAAGCCTAGGGTATTGCGGGGTCGTCGCGTGGCAGACGTTGAGGTTAGTACCGGTTGTGTCATAGAGACGGGTTTGCTAAATGTGTTTGTAGGCGACTGCGTCTACAGAACCTCCGCACAAGCCAGAAGCCAAAGATTCCTGTGCACCGCAGTTGGAAACGGTCCCAGAAGATGCGCCCATGAAGACTTCGAAGGCAACTGCTTCGAAGAGAAAGGCGCCAGCATCCAAAGCTCGCGGAGCGACCTCTGAGTCCGAGGCTCCAGACCCTGCGGCGCGCAGGACGGTCCGCCGCGGACGGTCCGCTGATCACGATGCTACGGCCACAGACTCGGAGGCGGCCCCCTCGAAGACCAAACCCGCACCGCGAACGCGTGGTGCGAAGACGAAACCCATCGACGTCGACACCGATGAGTTGGATTTCATTGAGAGGCCTACTTCTCCCGAGCACCCTCCTGACGCTAAGTCCAAACCTACCAAGCGCGGTGCCGGGAAAGTGAAGCAGGAAGACAACGACGATGGAGTCGTGAGGGCTGTGAGGGCCACTGCCACTACCCCCGCCACTAAGGCAAGGAAGACCCCTGCCAGGGGGCGTGCCAAGGATGCTGCCGCTCCCTCAACAGCGGGTGAGTCTAGTTGTGTCGAGGGGATCGGGGACAAGGAGAACACACCGGAGTCGGGCAGCACCCCTGCTGAGGAGGCTCCGGCTCCCGCGAAGAAAGGCCGTACAGCAAAGCCTAGGGTGAAGACGGAGGAACCTCCTCAGGAAGTCCCGAAGACTACTAGGGCGACGAGAGCCAGAGCTGCAAAGAAAACGTGAATCCAGGATACCCTTGTTATATCTATCTATGTACCTTCTTGGATGAACCTGTATACTGTACCTCCCACTATGCCCAAACGTTCTTGGTTCCACTTAAATGCTTCCACATTTAAGTCCTCATTGAGGTCTTGAGGACTCAAGAAGGACTCAACAGCTCTGCCATTTGTGGCCGAACCATAGCTGCTATGGCTTCGGCCGAACCCGGGCTGCACGTTGTCAACAGCCTATCGACAACCCCGATTGCATCCGCCACCATGCAGCGGGCTTTCAGTTTTGTCGCGACGGGACTGCCCTCGTACAGCCATGGACTGATTTAGTCCCTGTTTCAGCTGTGGCTTGGCTTTAGAGTACGCAGCTAGTCAAAATTGCCGATGTCCGCTACCCCTTGCTTTCGCTCTCTGCGAAGCCAACCGCGGTCATAGACTGAGTAGAACTGCGAACATCCCCCTTGTCGACTTCCAGGGTCTTTCGTCATGCATGATTGCCTCGCCGTCACAGAAATATTAGAGCAGATTTTCTGGTTTCTGCTACTGGGTACGGGAGGGCGCAGTCGAGCATCTCTGGCTGCTTGCGCCCGGACGTCCAAGGTCTTCACCGAACCTGCGTTGGGAATACTGTGGCACACGCTCTCGTCGCTGGAACCTTTCATTAGGAGCATGCCTTCCGACCTATGGAAGAAGGACTTCAGCGGCCGTGTGGTACGACTCCTCTACTTGCGGGGATGGTTTTGCAGCTGCTAACGCCATCAATTTGTGTCGCAGAAATTCGTTCGCGACCTCACCGTCTCAGATATAGAGCAATGCCTTCCGATCGCCCGTCGCGTCCGCTCCCTCTATGTCGACCGTCACAACGATCCTCTTGATGAAGGAGTCTACAGTAAACTGTTGGCACTCACGCCTCATGCGGCTGTCTTCCCGGACCTGGTGTCGCTATCTTGGACAGACAGAGATCCGGTATATCTACCGCTATTCTTGTCCTCCGTTATGCAGACGGTGACCATATCCTTCGGAGTCTACAACACGACGAGCAGTGCATTGAATTCCTTGACAGAACTAGTGAAGAGATGCCCCATTCTGGAGACAGTGCATTTCCTAGGCCCATCCGCCCGGCGTATTGCAGATGACCCGCACTTTTTAAATGTACTGACGTTGCTCCGGAACGTACGGGAGTTCACCTGTTTCGTGAACTCGATTCCCCCCGAGTTTTGGCTCGCTCTCGCCTCGTGGCCCAAGTTGCGGAAGCTGACGCTTGTGAGTCACGTTGAGTCTAATAGACCTCCCATTCTGCCCTCGGTCCCGTCACCTGATGGCAGCGATGACGTTCTAAGACCCTCCTTCGAGTGTCTCACCCATTTGAACCTCACGATGTACGGAACTATACCCCCGGCGGCGCTCAAGCAATATGGATTGCTGGCCAATCTGCAATCGCTAGTAATCAATCTCCCAGATGACACAAAGGCTACTCTCATAGAGGATTGGCTGCGGCATGTCTGTCAATACTGTTCGCCCCGCCGGCTGACGCACATCTCTGTGAATCCTGCCTACCGCTGGCAACAGCCTCTCCCACCATATGAAGACGGGTATACCCTAGAGCGCGAGGTGCTCAAGGGGCTCTCCATATTTTCGCGGCTGAAAATGTTGGACATTACTATCAAGTGTTCCGCGTCATTGGATGACGCTTCCCTTGAAGAGCTGGCTATGAACTGGCCCCATCTCCAGCGTCTCAATGTCGGTGTTCAGAGTGGTTCGATTAAGGACCTGCACGTCACTGCTCGGGGAGTAGTCGCGCTGCTCAGACTCTGTCCAGATCTCAACTCTTTGGGCTTGGTCTTTCATGCAGGGCAGATTGGACACGGCCCGCAGAGCAGACCGGGCGCGGGAATCTGCAACGAGAAGATCACTACGATCGACGTGGGTAACTCGCCGATCAAGTACCCGCTGGATGTTGCAGAGTTCCTGTCTGACGTGCTCCCCAACGTTCGGGAGGTCAAGACTGTCTATCGACTGCCCCTCGTGTGGTCGTCGGCTGCTCAAATGCAGCAGAAGCTATGGAAGGAGGTAGAACGGCTTGTACCTCGCTTTGCGAAAGTGCGGCGACAGGAAAGGAGCCATTGCGGGTGCTCTGTCTGAATTAGGACCCTTCAGTCATCGCTAAGCCTCCATCTTCAAGCACTGTGGCATGGCGAGGTCCTTCACGATGGTCAAGCGTCTGAGTGGTGTTATCATACCACGAGCCTCTGGTCTATATTGCTAGATCTGTGTAGTACGTTGTTGGCATTCACATTCCAATTCGTCATCAGTTGTAGTGCTTCACGGTCACTCCGTTAATGATCTCCACGTCTGCTCCATCATCGCTCTTCTTCAGTTCAGACTTCCCATATGCACTTGTCCTCGCCCTCCGCCAGGATTCCATGATTGGTGCCTTTCCTTCTTCGAAGCGTCTCTCTAAGTGTCCCTTCTCTCTTTGAAGTGCCCGACTTTCTTTCACCATGGGTTCCAGGACGACGTCGCCGTTGGGCATGGCGAAATAGAACACGCCGAGGCGCGTATAACCCCTTTGTGATGGAGGTGGCTGGACGACCCGATGGATCGTCGCTTTATAAAATCCACCAGTCAGGAATTCCAGGGCGTCACCTGCATTGATGACCTATACCAGATCAGCCAGGGGTGCGGTACTACGCGGGAAATACATACGAGAGCATTGTCGATGTGGTTTACCCATTGCCACCGCCCGCTCGGTGATAGAATCTGGAGCGCAACGACGGGCTGACTCCAAAGTATGGTGATGCTTCCGAAGTCTAGGCTCCGAAGAGCCGGTGAGTTTCTGAATGCTGAGGCTCGCTACAGAGATATGCTCACCTGTATGCCCTTTGAGCCATACATTGTTTGTCTTCTCTTCCTCGTCTTCGGACCGTGGCCAGCTGGACTCATCGTTTGATAGAGGAGTCAGAACATCGAAGGATACTCACTATTTCATAAATCTCACTTAACTCGAGTCAGTGTGCATTGTTAAGGAGGACTATCTCAAACGATTCACCGTATGATTCATTCTTCACTGTCCCGTACGTGTGGCTATTGACGAGCGTTTCCTCGGGCATCTCAAGGCCAACCGCCAAAAGCCTAGAAGATTGAGAAGTCACAAGGCCACTAGCGACAGAGAAGCGTCGCATGTGCGCCAAGAGGCGTACCTCAGAATGGGATGAAGAACACTGAAGTGGCAATGCTTGGCGAACTCTTCTATCTCTGGGAGCAGAGGGCGTAGTGCTTGCGGATGCTGACGTCTATCAACGTCGCCGTTGACTGTTTAGGTCATGGAGCGTGTCGGTAAGTCTGAGAGACTACATTTGACTGCCGAATATATTCACGATTATAATGCTCCAGTTGGTCATGCACGCCATTCTCGATGTGCTGTGCGCCATCCCAAATTAGCGACGATCCGCTATCCACCGTCACACTGAGACGGGCAAGAGCATACCCAGTAGTTTCGAAGCTTATATCCGAGATATGATCCGGTCGCCTTTATATTCCCCGCGTAGGTTTGCTTCTCCTCCCTAGGAACATCTTCGAACGGAATATTGGCAACATCAAACATACGCTTAGTCCAGGCGATTGTCAGGCGCGACTACGTTCAGAATTGACGAAAAAAGTCACCTGAAGAGGCGTATAGCCGTGATTTATGGCATAGAAAAAACCTTTATTCCGCATGGCATCTCTTGCCACTGTTGCTTGTTCCTTCAGACCCTCCGCCGTCGCAGCTGTGCTCAAGTCAATGACAGGAAGATCTGCATAGTCCACTACCGAAGTAAGTTTAGATTTGATTTTGTTTTGTCAGCATTCCAATTGGCAAGAGAATGGGCGCTGCAACGTACACTCTTCCGCTGCCTCAGGGGCCGGTATATAAGGCGTAACCGGTGGCAGGGTTCTGGAGGGCATGGCGAAGGAAAATAGCGGAGGCTGAGGTCAGGCTCTCTTCACTTTATAGGATACTCGGTGCTCTCTTGTATGCATGACATGTGACCTTCGCGTCATTTGGCTTCGAATGGTGTAGTGAGAATGTGAGAAAGAAAGAAGTTGCGAGACGCAATAGTCGGGGAAACCCCACTACCCGATGCTGGCAAGTCTAATATTAACGTACACGACGAACGCACCTCTCTTATCGTGCTATCAGTTGATAAAATCCTTTGTACAGGTATGTCTGGAAAATCACAGTCGCGGGGTCGGAGTCCTACTATACACACAGCGGAGCCACTGTCGATGCTCGGAACAATTCGCACTATCACTAATGCCTTTGGAATGTACTCTGAGTGAACACAGCATTTAGAATAGGGTTCCGAATGCTTGTTTATGCTTACCCTAATTGTAATGCTTCACGAGAACGCCGCTCAACACCTCCGTGTCCACGCCGTTCTCGCCTTTCTTCACCTCAGTCTGCCCATACGCACTTATCCTAGTCCTCCTGTACATATCCATAGTAGGCGCCTTGCCGCGCTCGATCCGCCCGTCTAACTTCACCCCTTCCCGTTGAATGACGGGACTTTCTTCTTCCATCGGCTCGAGCATAACATCGTTGTCCAACATAGCGAAGTAGAAGACGCCCAGGCGTGTGTAGCCTCGCTGAGATGGCGGCGGTTGGACGACACGGTGGATCGTCGCTTTGTAGAACCCACCGGAGATGAACTCAAGTACATCGCCCAAGTTGATCACCTGGAGGAGCGTCTTCTATCCCGGCCTGGGATGGAGAAAGAACCATCACTCACTAGACCGTTCTCCATGTGCTTGACGAATTGCCATCGACCATTCGGCGAGAGGATCTGAAGAGCCGCTACTGGCTGGCTCCAGAGGACGGTCAAGCAGTTGAGATCTGAGTGGACACAATGAGCGACTCAATGCAACACAGGGATTTATCAGAAGAATCGTGCACACCGGTGTGACCCTTTAACCATACATTTTTCGTCTTTGCCTCATCGTGTTCATTTCGAGGATAACTACAGTGCAGACGTAGGAGTACACGAGGCAAAAATGCCGGACGTGCTTACTACTTCATGAATCTCACTAGAAGGATCACGAGTGAGCAGGCCAAGGGTACGAAGTACATGCTACTCACAAAACGATTCCCCCGGCACCTCGTACCTGCTCATATTGACCAATGTATCTTCTGGCATTTCGAGGCCGATGGCCAGTAGTCTGCCGATGATCAATGTTAGCAATGTGCCGACAGCAATGCAGCAGCACTAAAACAACGCTCACCTCAGAAGCGGATGGATGACATTGAGGTGGCAATGTTTGATCCATGCTTCGATCTCGGGGAGGAGGGGGCGAAGAGCCTCGGGATGCGATTTCCGGTTGACGTCAGGGTCAACTGGTGTGCGGTAAGTTACATTCGCTGATGTCCCACAGGGATAATAGCGCAGGATAATACTTACTGTTGTAATGTTCGATCTGGTCGCGCACTCCGTTGTCGATGTGCTATCCAACGACACAAATATAGCTAAGCTATAGGTTCGAGACGGAGAGTGATAGAAAACATACCCAATATTTACGAAGCTTGTATCCTAGATACGTCCCTGTGGCCTTAATGTTGCCGGCGTATACCTTCTTCTCATCGTCCGAAACGTGCTCAAACGGTACGTTGGCGATATCGAACATGCGCTTCGTCTAATGTCCCATTTACGTCGTACGTCTTGGCAGGCGGGAAACGATCGGTCGTACCTGAGCCGGGCTGTATCCATGATTTATAACGTAGAGGAAACCCTTTGTGCGCATTGCGTCTCTCGCTAGCGGCGCTAACTCAGCTCTACCTTCTGCAGTAGCGGCTTTACTTAGGTCGATAACCGCGAGGTCGGCATAGTCCACTATGGGTATAAGTGAGCGTTAGCACGGTTTGTCATTGCCGAGTATCAAAGGAGAAGCGGTCGTACATTCCTCTGTAGGCAAGGGTGCTGGTGCGTATGGTTCAACTGGGGGCAAGGTCAGGCTGGGCATGGTCGGGGAGCGTGAATAGTGCGAAGTGCTTGCAGCTGAATGCTCTTATATCGCCGGGAAGCCATAGGAAAGGAGGGATGCCGAAGCCCAAGTTAGAACACAAGGTTTGGGGTGTGGGGCTGCGAAGGCCTGTCTCGTTCGTAGGTCCGCTTCGAGAAGGTCCATACTGAATGAGCCCATGAACTCGACGTACCAAGGCTCAGAGCCTGCCCAGTATCGAGGTACGGAGACCCTGATCATGCCGTCAGCTGACACGAGAAGTGTATTTATAGGGCGATAGACGCACATTTACACCGATTAGCTCTGTCGGAGGATACTTACCATACATTCGCCCGAGGCAGAACCTTCAGGTGACGGTAGGTGTATAGGTGACTGGAAAGTAAACGGTGCCCCAGTTTCCTTGGAAGGATGTGCGTGGCTACATCACTAAGAGCGAAAGATTTGCTTATAGCCCTGGCTCCTTCTCCATCTTCGCTATAGTTACCAGTTGTATCTACCGTGAAGAGGGAGAAGTATCTGGGCCTGGGCGGGGTTCTATGTCTGCTAGGTGAAGATTTGTCTGAGACGCAATAGTCGGGGTTCCCAGGTTGCCCTCGTCTCAAGCTTTCCGATATGTCGACTTCAGTGAAACCGCTAAGTCACAGGGGATAGCACCTGTAGAAGCGAACGCCGGATACTTACCTCTGGCAGGATGCAACTCCCTCATAATGATGGCATGGAACTGCCAATCTCGGTTCACTGCGTTTCAAAAAGCATACCAGGGGAAGGACTCGAGGGGCGGAATTGAGCAGGACCAAGGGAAGCACGAGCGGTTACCTCGCTTTTCCATTATTAGAGGCAACTCCGCCCCTTTACCGTGTCGTCAGCTGAGATAGTGGAGTAATTATATCATAGGATGGCACCAAAGGCAGCAATACTTAGTCCTTCATCGTTTCGACGCAACAGATCGACCTACCTACGTTCTGCGATGAGAAGACGTTACGCATGCAATGACGTTCACGTATACTGCCATCGCTGTCGCGAGCGTCACGGCGCTTGGATATCGGTCGGCCTTCTCGCCAATACAGAATTGGGGGCGAAATGACAGACTTTTATAGCCGACCGCTAGATAGCTAGACACAGCCCAACATTGGTCAGGATGCCGACTCCGTGGTAAAACGAGTGATAGACACCTGAGGTCGGTCACAAGCTTGCAAAGACGCAAGATATGGCAGCCAACTCCTTCATTTTCACTCGCATGCAGAACTGATACACCTCATTTAGACCGGTGAAAGAAGGACTGAGGCACAAGTTCAACTTCAAGGCGGGGTCGACGCAACTCTGAATATGTGACTCACGGCGTCACATGCCTCAAATCTGAACGCAGGAGCGTGAGAAATACGCCTCTCTTTTGCCACAACACCGGCGCCACAGCGATTGGGTGCGACGCTCATCAACACGTGCATTCCAAGGCCACAAAGAAGCATTTACACAATGGATAGTGAGATCTTGAGAAGCGGAGCTCAAGCTCCAGTGACTTTGTGAGCATGGTGGGCGACTGTCTCCTCTTGTCGCCTCCTCTTGCTTCCGACTCTGACATTCGCCGCATAAAAATGGCCGAATCGAGTCGATTTCCACCTCCTCATGCGCGGCTATCTCTGACCTCGTCTCCGCCGTCGATAGATGATGAACGTAACCTTCCCATAGCCATGATGTCTGCCCCTTTGAATACTACCGGTGTCAACAAGCATTTCGAGGCTCTGGAGCACATTACGCACACTCATGTTAGCTGTATTTATGATTGTCCTCCGTTTTTTCGCGGCCTTCTCAGCCGACATGCTTCTCCTCGTCACCGGGGTACGTGTCCTCGTATTCTTTCTCCTCTCTCAACCACTCGCCGAGATTTCAGGTCACAGCCGCTCGGGACAGGAAGATACGCACCAATGCGTAATTAGCTTCAACAGTTCCATAATTAGTTCCCACAATGATGCGCAGAAATCCAAGGGCTCTATCAATGATGTCGAGCACGCGACCGTCATTTGGGAAGCTGATGGTGTCGGAGAACTGCGGGCGTCCGCGGTAAGAGCACACCTTGTAACCTTGTACTTTAGAAACTGAAGGGGACTATCTCTCATGGAACTTTACAATTTCTGTCCGCTGCTTGGGTTGCAGAACGAGGTCCAAAATTGCCGCTCACGAGACCTGGAACAACATGGAGTCGTTCTTTGCCTGTACTGATATCCATTGGTGACAGTTCTTCTGATGTGAAGACCCCACGATTCTATGCAGTCGTTACAACTGTAATGAAGGTGATGGCTACGTGTGGAATATTGGAAAACTCAGTGAAGCATCATACAACGTACCAGTGACAAAATGTGTCCACCAGCTTGCCCGACTTGTGGCGACACACTATTAAGGAGAATGGGTGTACGTGCCATTCGGACTCCGATAGCTGGCCCAACCCAGACGATAACGCTGTACCCCCAATATTTGCATTTCTCAAGCAGGTGGAAATCAACATGTATCGAGAGGAAGGCTGCTATACGGATTCTGCCGAGGAAGAAGAGCTTTCCTCCAGATTTTGGGTATCACTACATCTAATCTCTACTTCGTTGCTGGGTATTTACTCTCTGAGGATTGTTGTCATGTGAAGATTCCTCTAACAGCTCACAATGTAGGCCCCAGGTCGTCCCTTTTGAATACGTGGACCTCGTCGCCGGGGGTCACCGCCGTGTCCAGAGATATGCATACCATAACGTATAATACTGAGACAGACCCAGACTAATAGACGTACCGGTTATGTCGTATGCAGTGTTGCATAATCAAGACACAGTATGCACTGTCGTCGACGCCATCGCGATCCACCTTAGGCTGGACCGTGACGCCAACACAGTGAACGATCTACCGGGCCGGTTTCACTGTACAAGCAACTTCAAGTTTCACTCTGAAGATATGTTTTTTGAGTCCTGTCGTCGTCCGACATACCAAGTCAAAGTGAAACCCTCAACTCAGGGCCACATTTACTGACTATGATAGCTAGTCGCTCGGGTACTCCCCATTACAGCTAGAATATAACAATGCTACTTATTGTTCAGGAACCCCGGAGTCCGAACTGGCTTATGCGAGGTCACGAGTTCCTGCAGAAGGCAGGTCGATCAACATTATCCGAAGGAGGTAGTGGACGACCATCGTGACCTTATCCAGGGACTTCTCTGATGGCTAACCCCGCAATCCCACCCAATCAGCGTTCAGGGTGGGGGCGCTCCTCCTCCGGATGCGGGGTAAATCTAACATACGAGATCGCCTCTAGTATGAATGATCACCCTTACTATTAGCGCGCTGCCATAACTGCCTTATAAAAGACGTGAACGGTCCTCCGTTCCTTACCCCTCTGTCTCCTCTGTCCCGCCATGATGCGCTCGAAGGCCTCCACTCCCGACGTGAGCGTCGACGGCGAGAAACCGACAGTCGAAACCATCGAGAACACGTCCACGGCGATACCTGTGCCGGGGAAGCTGCACTATGACGGCGAAGAGGGACTCCCGAGCCCCCCTGTGTTGACCGAGGAAGAGGAGAAGCGGCTGTGGAGGAAGATAGATTTGAGGCTGATGCCCATTCTGAGTGTCATGTATCTGTTCTCCTTCCTCGATCGAGGTGAGTGCTCAGTGATGTAACCACTGAAGTCCGTCGGAACCGGACGCATTTCCTGTTTTCTAGGCAACATCGGTACGTGTATTTTATATGAGACTATTTTTGGGATCCCACTCAGACCGTCCTGTAGGCAACGCGAAGCTTCAGGGGCTAGTTACTCAATTACATTTGGTGTCTAATCAGTACAACATCGCGCTGGTATGTATGTCTCCCCGACGTCGACCGACAAGCTCCTGATCGATCTCCTAGACTATGTACTTCATCGTAAGTCATACCGAATTCGTCTTTGAGCAATGACCTAACATTTTTTTCCACAAGCCTTACTGCCTGTTCGAATGCCCCGCAAAGTAAGGCTTCACGTATCCCGATACTCCTTGTTACTGATATGGCTTGTCCCAATAAAGCTTGGTGCTCAAGAAGTTCAGACCATCCAGGTTCGTCTTTTGCTTCTAACCGACGCCTCGTAGCAAAATAATTACCTTGACACTGTAGGTGGCTTCCCGGGATAACTGTAAGTTAAGATGTTCCGGTTCCACGCACCTCTCATCCCTCGCATCTATTCAAGATCACCTGGGGCATTATCATGTAGGCATCTTCACTGCTGACTACGGACGAGAGACTCATGACGTGGAACTCACTTACCTAAATCCAGGACTCTCATGGGCTTAGTGAAGAAGTGCGTTCCTTCTCTGCCCACCATAATACTCTCCATACTCAGTATCACCAATCACGGGTCATTACAGTTACGAGCAGCTGGTAGGCACCCGCGTATGTCTAGGCGTCGCCGAAGCGGGGCTGTTCCCCGGCGTTGTCTACTAGTGCGTGACCTCTGCATGATTTCGAACTTCCCCTCACAGGTTCCCTAGCCTTACGCTGTGGTATCCGCGCCATATGTTGCAGTACCGCGTTGGATTGTTCTTCGGTGCTGCAACACTTGCTGGTATGCGACGAGTTTCCGCGCCCCTCATTCTTTCGCCCTTCCTGACCGGTCGTTAGGTGCTTTCTCAGGCCTGCTCGCGTTCGGTATCAGCTTCATGAGCGGTACAGCGGGTATGCTTGGCTGGTCATGGATCTTTGTGAGTCCATCCCGTGTAGCGGAAGAGGGGATGGTTAACTGATCATTCGTAGATCCTCGAGGGTATTGGTACAGTTGTGGTCGGCATCATCGCGTTCTTCGGTGTGTATTTTGCATGTCCCCGTGTGGTCGGTACTGATAGGTTGAGTACAGTCCTCGTTGACTTCCCAGCAACTGCGAAGTTCCTCACTCCCGCCGAGCGAGCTTTCGTTGTCCATAAGAAGAGTGAGCACTGCCCCCAGGTGCACTTGCATTGCAGGAAGAGATGTACTCAAGCGGGACATAGAATATGACAACTCATCTGTCGGAGAAGAGGAGAATTTTGCAATGCGCCATGTGTGGGCTGCGTTCAAAGACTGGCAGGTACGTTTTGCTGCCGCAGTTGGGATTTGGGAGTCCGTCCTGATATGGTGGATACGGCCATGTGCAGGTTTGGGTGCATATCCTGATTTACTTCTCCGTCGTTGGTCCATGTAAGTCCTCTTATATTCGTGAACAGAGAGTGCCGCGAGACTGAATGCTGTTTGCCTAGTATATGGCATTTCGTTGTTTTTGCCGTACGTGCTACTTGAGTTGCATCTTACGAGCGCTGATCAATCGTTTGCATACAGATCTATCATCCAAGGGTAGGTTTTCTCCATCTTACCCTCCTACGTCCGTAATGATGATTTATGTCGCGATTGTTATCAGCTTCGGATATACCACCGCGATCTCGCAGCTCCTTACCGTGCCCCCATACGTCTTCGCCAGTAAGCCACGGACCTCCTTATGTCTCTCCCTACCTTGCTTACAGAATCCTCTTTGCCGTGCTCCTAAGCCATCGTGCTCCTTATCTTCGCCCTCTGGTCTGACCGCATCAAGAAACGATCTCCGTTCATCATGGCCGGGCTCATCATGCTCTTGATTGGCTTTGTGATCAACATCACGGATGCTCCGATCGGCGCCAAGTACTTCGGGACGTTCTTCTGTGTTGCCGGGAGCTATGCTGCGTTCCCTGGGGTCGTTGCCTGGTACGTTTCCTCTGTCCCCGGCCCGAGTCAGGTCTAATGAGATACAGGCTGGGTAATAACATGGTTGGGCAATATAAGCGAGGCGTCGGAATGGCGCTGCACATTGGCATCGGTAACTTCGCGGGAGCGATTTCGTCGAACGTCTATCGATCGAAAGATGCACCTCGGTATATCGTAGGACGTTCGTAGCGTCCATCTCGTTGCGAATACCCGATTGTACTCACACTCCTCTTCAGATGGCATTGAGCTCATGTTCGTCGGCATCGGCTTCATCTGCGTGCCGCTTGTCGTGTTCCTGTACACGCGCATTAACGCACAGAGAGACAGAGCCGAGCGGGAGGCGGGAGAGAAAGGGGCTGTTGTGTACTCTGCGCAGGAGCTGAGGGAGATGGGAGATCGGGCGCCGGCTTTCCGTTATATGCTGTGATTCCTATGACAGCAGAATTCAGAGGTTGAGAGCCCAGTTATCATCAATATCCTAGGCTCTGTTGGTATTTTGTAGTAGTGTACGTTTGTATGACTAGGAGCGTAGACGGAGATTGTCAGATAAGCTCAAATGCAGAGCAAAGTTCATGAGTGCGGACCAAGTCGGACAAGGTGATTCGGTCACGTAGTCCCCAATCTTGGCCCATCTTTACGATGTGAGAAAAATGCTGTTTATAACCAATTCTGATTCTTAGAGTAGAAGCGTGTGCGACGTAGACCAGGAGAGACGGTTCTCCCAGATTGACAACTGACAACAGAACGATAGAAACTCGCAGAAATGCTGGGATGGAGTCCGCCAGGCTCCCTTGCCGCAATAGCTCCCCCTCACGAGAAAGTCAAATGGAACGGTTTCTCCAAGGACAGTGCCTTGTTTATGAGCCGCGAAAGCTGGTACCGCCGCCATGAAACCGGGATCATAAACTTTTGTGTTGGCAACGGGTAGGGCGTGGCCGTCGTAAAGACGACAGGTCGTGTCGCCTCTGAAGCCATGTCGGTAATTTTGTCTTGTAGTGTCAGTGACCTGGTCTGCGGCGACGATGAAGAGGCCCACTTACAGACTTGCAATTTCTCCGTACGCACGGGGAGCGGTATTTGCCGGTGGCGGGAGGTAGCCATAGAACGATCCTTGTCAAAGTCACTTTTCGCGCTTCGGATATATTCAGGGCGTAAGTGCACCACACACCACGCTAATGCCTCGGACTGCGAGGCAATTATCCAGCAAGCGATAGTCTTGGATCGCAAGTGGGCAGATGCGATCATAGTATGGGACCCATGGGATAATAAGCAACCCGTACCAGGGTCTTCTTTACTTAGAATACTTAAGACGCGGCTTACATACCAATGGTGACACGACTATAGGTCACCGTCTACTGGAAAGACATGCACCTACTCGTCCTTCTGCTCGAGTGCAGGCCACTTAGGACCGTGGACCTCCCTCCAAATCTCCACAACCCGCTTCATCACATCGCTGCTCACATCTTTCCACACCCCCTTTTTCGTCAGAGGTCCATTAACCTCATTCATCGTCGTGACCCGAAAGCGGTCACCTGCCCAAGGACCTTCCTGCAGACCGCTCTCGTGAAGCAAAGAAGTGGTCGACCAGCCAATTTGACAGAGGAGTACATCTCCAAGGTGAAGTGCTTCCCCGACGATCTCCGTCACTATATCCGCACGGACGTATTGGAGCTTGGACAGGTTGCAAAGAGCATAGTCATCGTACTGGACGTAGTAGGGCGTCGTCAATTTCCGATAGCACTCGCCTTCTGGACTTGGCATTTTCCACTCGCGTCGATCGTAAGGCGAGCCGTCCCTATGACCTTGACGGTTGTGACACAGCTCACATGCGATGGTATATAAACTGGGATGGTTGCTTTCAGAGCCAACGGCATCTTCACTGTCGCTGTCGTATAACGTCGGGAGCTCTTCGCGTAATTTCGCCAATTCTTCTGCGGATAGCACACCCTCTGGTAAGCCCTCGGAACAGTCGCCAACAAAGATAAGGCGGTCGCCATCCCATCGGGTTGGATCTTCTTCCATTTTCTTCAGAACATATTTGTAGCCGATTGCCCAGAGTGTCTTATTGCAGATGCATAAGCAGGCGACATCACGGATATCTTCAATATTGGCAAAAATCATATGGAGCAGTTCCATGGGGAGAGAAAGTCTCCCGAGGCCGGCCTCTATGGGGCTACGGAAAAGTTTGAAACAAGAAGGGGTACCTTAGATACTAGCACGCACCTTTTGACATGCTTGACGAGTTCCTTCGTAAGGTTCTCTGCCGCTGGATCCAGCATGGGAGGCAGAAGCCGATTGAGGAGAGAGTCCGAGGTTGGGCTTGAGCGCTCCCATAACCATATTTCGAATAGCTTCGCCTGATCTCCTGTCTGTTGCCACTTGTCGATGTTTACTCTGCACAAGGAAGCGGTGAGTACTCAGCAACAGCATGGGGTACTGGCTTACACCATCCAATATTGCCCCATCTCTGCAGGAATATTAAAGTGAGGCTTCGTCAGGAAGAAAGTGTGTCGCAAGCTGCCACGGTGTGTGGCTCAGAGTTTGGTCACATAGCACGTGACTTGTCACGACTTCCAGCGAACTCTGCTCTGCATTCTTCTGCATTGCGCTTTGCATGCTGAATGTTGGGGCGAGATTTCAAGCGACATCACTGGTGTACAGTGCGCCAGTCGTTTAGAATTATTATAAAGCTGCGTCTGGTTATTGATATGTCAGTTTCCTACATAACAAATTGCCATGCAAGACATCCAGCCCTCTATCCATACTTTCTAAAAATTATCTGAGCGTGTCGCTACATTTTACGAGGCCAGCATAGTCCTTGCTCGCAAACCGGCAACCTCTTGGGCTTTGTAAATCTTGACCATGTTGCAATCTCCAGTTTTATTCACCTACCACAGGGACACACATACCGGTACGGAACATTCAAGACGCTGAAGCTGTCGAAAAGCTGCCTCTCGGAGCGTGAGTAAATCGCGAATGCACTCGAGGGCGGTTAATACTCCGGCGTGCATGAACAAGCCGAAATGAAGACACCCCTCGAGCCCAAGTGAAGTCACTGACACAATCCTCTACAGGGCCATCAGCGATTTCAGTCACTCTCACAATAGTGGGTATGCAAAAGAAGTGTAGTGCGCACTGCTGGAACGAATCAAACTCTGGGTCTGCCATACGGCGGCGCTTTTGCAGGTTGATTGGCGTGAAGCTGCTGATCATGAGCCGGCCTGCGGTGCGCATGCTATTTGTACCTGTTTTATGGCTGCCTCCCGCCACCGGCAAATACCGTGCGTACGGAAAAATTGCAAGTCTGCCTCTTCATCGTCGACGCAGACCAGGTCACGGATACTACGACACAAAATTACCGACATGGCTTCAGAAGCGACACGACCTGTTGTCTTTACGACGTCTACGCCCTACCCGTTGCCGACGCAAAAGTTTATGATCCCGGTTTCATGGCGGCGGTATCAGCTTTCGCAGCTCATAAACAAGGCACTGTCCTTGGAGAAACCCGTTCCATTCGACTTTCTCGTGAGGGGGGAGATATTGCGAGGGAGCTTGGCGGAATGGTGTGCAGAGAAGGGTGTAGGCGAGGTGCGTGATGTCGGGTGACTGCAGATACTTGGAAGATGCAATGGTGAAAGCATTGCTGATTTCCGCAGTGTAGGAGGAAACGCTGGAGATAGAATACATCGAGTCGGTTTTACCTCCGCAAAAGTTTAGCTCGATGCCGCACGAGGACTGGGTGTCTGCTGTTTCTTGCCGGGTCCCCAGGTACGTCTGCTTCCATTGGGAATGACATAAATTAGAATTACTTGCACGGGCTCGTGCATAGAACGTTCGTGACTGGATCGTACGACGGGAGCATACGCACTTTCTCCTACTCGCGACAACTGCTGCAGACCGTCCATATACACGAGGCTCCCATAACGTCCCTCTGCGTCCTCCCATCGTCTGAATCCAACGACGCGCACACTGTCGCCACTGCGTCGCAGGACATGACAGCTCGCTTGACAACAGTACAATCTACCCCCGACACTCGTGACCCGCCGTCGAGCAAGATACTGGCGTCCCTTCACCTCCACACCGCCCCTGTCTCCTCCGTCTCTGTCAATTCCTCCGGGTCACATTTGCTCACGGCCAGCTGGGACACGCTCATCGGCGTGTGGAGCACGTCTGTACCCGCCGACGACGAGATCTCGCCGGACGACCTGGCGCCAGGCAGGGTGTCGAAGCGGAGGAGGCTGACGACGAAGGAAAAGGGGAGCGCGGAGGAGGGCCAGGTGAGACGCAAGGCGCCGGTGCAGGTGATGAAGAGCCATACGGCGCGAGTGACGAAAGCCGTGTTCGGCGGCGAAGGTACGGCGGCGAGCCGGAGCGCTGCGTACAGCTGCGGGCTCGACTCGACGGTGCGGACGTGGGACGTGGAGAGCGGAGTGTGCCTGCAGACGATTGTGAGTGGCAGCCTAGCCCCGCTTCTCGGCCCGATCATCTCTGACTTTTCGCCAGAACGCGTCGGAAAAGCCGATGACGGACCTGGCGCTCATGCCCGGCGGCCAGACGGCGCTCGCGGCTGCGACGGACCGCACGGTGACCGCGTACGACCTCCGGCTCTCCCCGACGTCGTCTGCCCCCGCGGTGGCCAGCATGCTCCACCCCTCCCTGCCCTCCTGCCTGACTGTTCCGCTCTCGCCGCTGAACACCGGCGCTGCAAACGCCAGCGCCCACCAGTTCCTCAGCGGTGCGTACGACGGCGCTGTGCGGTTATGGGATCTCAGGAGCGTGAAGGCGCCTATTGCCAGCTTCAAGATCGCGGAGGGGAAGGTGCTTAGCGTGGACTGGGCCGTGCTCGAGCAGAGCGGGTCGGGCATCGCAGGTGTAGGTGGAGAAGGAGGGCTGGAGGTCTGGAAAATCGGAGCAGATAGTACGCCGACACCTTTAGAGAAGTAAGGCTCTGGACGCGCGTTTGGAGGTAACTGGAGGATTATAAGGTACGCTAGCGGACCGAGCGATTGGCTAGGATGTCAATATTGTCACGGTTTCTTGGCAAGGACGTACGCCCTTGTAAGATGTGCCTGTTACTGTAAGCAAGACGCCAGGTACGATTTCACTTCGCGGATTTGTATGTGGTTGGGATCCGTCTCCACTCCAAGTCAGGAAACCCCATACCGTCTACGTTGAAAGGTGCGGTGTGCGCTTGGCTTCGGCTCCAGGCACTGCTAGGATGCGCCCTTTCGCCGAGCTGCAGACCGTCGTCGACCGGGAATATTTTGACACACAGCCGCGTCATGAAACATCTCCCTTCGCACTGACATGTTCTTATAGGTGATACACTACTCATACACGCTTGTACAGGATGCAGCTGATCTGGCCGGAGAAACGGTTATTTGCCCTCGAATACTCGGATCTACCATGCCCTCTCCTCAGGCCACCCCCGACCGTGCTCGGATCTCCAGATCTCCGCAACCTGCTTCATCACAACTTTCGTAACATCGGTCCACGTCCCCTTCTCTCGCAACGCTCCGTTGACCTCATCCATCGTCGCAAGCAGAAAGCGGTTCCCTGCCCAGGCACCACGATGCAAATCGCCGTTGTACGCCATCGAGATGGACGGGTCGGTCGACCAGCAGATTTGGGACAGGAGGACGTCTCCGAGCTCTAGAGCATCGCCGACCATCTCCCTCACGGTGTCGGCCCGGACGTATTGGAGCTTCGACAAGTTGCACAGGACCCATCCGTCATTATAATCCTCGTAGTAGGGCTCGGTCAGGTCTTGGTATAACTCGTATTCGATGTGACTCATCTCCCGCACACGCTGATCCTCTCGCGTGGTAGGCAGACTGTCGGCGTCGGAGAAGAGCTCTTCTGCAATGTTATACAAGTTCAGATACCCTCTGCAATACTCCTCAGCTTCCTGGCGTAGTTCCTCCATTTCGGCGGGGGAGAGCATGTCTTCCGGCAAGTCCCCTACATAGTCGCCAACACAGATGATGCGGTCACCCTCCCAATGCCCTTTCGCATCCTTGATGTACTTGTGGCCGATCGCCCAGAGTGTCTTATTGGCGATACATAGGCAGGCAACGTCATGGGTATCGTCGATCCTGGCAAAGATCGCCTCAATCAGCTCCACGGCGATGCCAAGATAGCCTAGTCCGGCGTCCTGAGGGCTAAACTGAAATGTAAGATACTCGTGTCTCTCCCGGATTGCGCCACGCACCCTTTGGCGTTCTGGATGATAGTCTCTGTAAGTTTCTTGGTATGGGGTTGCAGCTGGGGGCGTTGCAATCGAAACAATAGCCACCCAGCAAGTCTTCCGGGGCCGCCCTCAGGAAGAAACTCTCCTACTTTTCCTTGACTGTACGTAGCGACGCGCTTGTCAAAGTTCACACTGTCCCAAGGCGGTGGTGAGTACTGAGCGACAAGGCGGCTTCGTTCCTTACATCTTCCAATATTGACCCATCTTGACTCTCTCTAATATGAATCTCTGTAATCGCTGGGTGCCTTGTATTCGATTCTGCGCTCGTCAGAGCGTGATGCAGATATCGGATATGAGCTCAGAGCTTGAACGTCTGGACAATGGGCTGTCACAATGCCTCGTGCATTCTGGTGTATGTCACATTCACGTGACAGATTGCAGCAGCGCGTCGCTTGTACGCGGCATGCCACAATATGCGAAGTGCGTTATCCAAAGAATGAATCGCCCACTTCCTTGTCTGTGCCGATAGCTCCCGAAGAAGGCACTTCTTCCTGGCCCACGTGAAAAATATGAAGATCCTATGTTACCATTACCGAACTACTGAAGATTCCCCCAGGCATCATACTGGCACACGTCCGGTTCACGTCTTGCGTGCACAGTCTCTTGTATCAACTTGACACCAACGAGCATATCAAGCATACCGTTTTCAAAGCTTTAGACTTCGATACCTGGCCAAATTAAGACAACCGGACACCGTAGGCGACATCATAGGCGACTGGAACACTATCCGCCTTGGAGACGTTCCCCTGTCTCAAATTTTCTGGTCGACTGACCCGTCCATCTCGATGCGGTATGATGATAATTTGCATCGAGGTGCCTGGGCAGGGAACCGCTATTGGTGAATATACCGAGGACTTGCCGGAATGGCTGCTCTCCGCGGTGGAGTCGGATGAATTAGGCGAGACGGCCCAGAAGCTCGACGGCCAAGACTCCAGCAATAACGAGGGCAGCGACATAGACTTGTACGATATCGCAAGCCAGAACTGGTCCTGCGACTCGAACATATGGCGTCCATTGCGAGGAGATTCATATCGTAGAAGGAAAATGGCGGGTTACGAATTGAAGTTATACCGGAACTTGATCAAGCCTCACTGCGTCTACGATGGCAGATGGGTCCTTTGCAACTTATCGAAACTCCAATATGTTCGCGCTGACATAGTGATGGAGAACGTAGGCAACGCTCTCCACCTCGGAGACATTCTTCTGTGCCAGATTGGCTGGTCAACCGGTTCTTACATAGGGCCGCAGTACGAGGGCAGTCTGCACGATGGTGCTTGGGCAGGTGATCGCTTTCATATAACGACCATGGATGTTGTCAACGGATCTTTGAGGAAGATGGGAGAGTGGCAAGACGTGACGAGGGATCTCATGGAGCGGGTTGTAGGATTGTGGAGAGCGGTGTACGGTCCCGAATGGCCTGAGGCAAAGGATTAGTAACTAGTACTACCGTGCACCTCGTAGTATACGTATGTGTACCATAGCGCGGTCATCTCTCCTTGGTACACGTGGTTGATTCTATTGGCGACACCTCGTATACTGATATCTGTGCAAAACCACGCGAAGGTGTCGCAGCATCAGTATGCAGTGTACTCGCGCTTGAGCAATAGCGTTACGAGAGGGACTGAAAAGGACAGATCACAGTATACCCTGTCATATTTGGATTTTCGATCCTTATACGCACAACCTACTGAGTACTAGTACCTTATATGCTAGCGTATACCAAGTCGACGGTAATATCCTTTCACGTCCACCTCAAGGTTATACGGGAGGCTAGCCTTCGCCCTGGCCTACTCAACCCTTTCTCCATTAGTTGGGATACACCTTCACTGAAGACTCAGCAGTCGTCAGCCGCGTTTCCTAAGGTGAAGGACGACAATATCAGAGTTTTTATCCACGCAGATCCAAATGTCGGGACTCGCTTTACTCGACGCACGTGAAGACTACGCACAATGCGTATCGCCCCGATGGCAACTCTGGAGTTCGTGAGTCGTGACAGCGCTGCAAAGCTTGATAAAACACATCGTGCATTCTCAGGCTTACAGAACTCGGAGCCTCCTACTACCGCGATGATGATACCTAGGACCGTCTTAATATGCACCGCGAAATATGTTCTGTCAGTTTTACATTCATATCTGTTAAAACCCTTGCGTAGCTTCCGCACCGAGTTGAGCTCAGACGGCCGGCTAAGTCAAGGCGATGGCCCCACGCAGTCCTGCTATACTCCGAAAAGAGTTCCTACACCCTGAGAAGAGTACAAGTGTGAAAGTCGACGAGTACATGGCAAGGGAGGAACTAGCCACATCTGAGGGACGCCCTTGCTTTGTATATCGATAACATCTTGAACGCCATCATACCTAAGGCAAATGACGGGCTGCGCTCGAATACCCTCAGCGTTCAGGGAGGTAATTTCTCTTTGGCTCCGCTCTTGATATTGAGTGGGGGGTAACAAGTGCAGGGCGTTATCTTTTGATTGAATAGGATTTATTTAGACTATAGAATTGCAATGTGTGGGAGGGGGTCCAACTGGTCCAACTGGTCATGGATGTCGTAGCGTGATAAGCACGGCATTGCTCGGCAACAACGCGCCGTTACGCACATCACGTGACTGTGACGGATAATGTGTGGCTTGCGCGATTGGACTTTTCAACTCGTCTCTCCCCGGGCTTACATCTGATACACTCCAACATCAAGCATCAGTAAATCAAGCATAGACAGGTTCTTTTCTTCTACATAACGATGGGCCAATATTGGATGCTGTAAGCGACCGAATCATCGTTTCCCGCTCCGTCTGCACTAACTTTCTTACAACAGCGTGAACATTGACAAACGCCAGTCAACAGGAAGCGAAGGGAAGTTGGGAGAATTTTTGACAGACAGCTCGCCTGGAACGGTTGCGGAGAGCTTACTGTGTCGGTTGCTACCTTGTCTACTGCGACCCGAGGCCGAGGCACTTACTAAGGACATCCTCAAGCATGTCAAGAGGTATGTGCAAATGTCCAAAATCTATGTGAATATCTGACATCCTCGTGTAGTCCCCTTGAATCCGGCCTGGGGAGGCTCGCTATTGCTGTGGAACTCTTGGATCTTATTTTCTCCAGCATCGACAACATACGTGATGCGACGTGTCTATGCATCAGCAATAAGACACTCTTCGCAATCGGCTACAAGCATATACTGAGAATAGCTGAAGGGGATCAAATTAGATGGGAGGGTGACCGCATTATCTGCCTCGGTGATTATGCAGAGGACTTACCAGAAGGGATGCTCTCCTCCGAAGAAGTGAATCTACTACGCCTGGAGGGCCAGGAGCTCGATGACAGTGACCCTGAAGACACTGTCCTTCGCTTGTACGACATTGCGGCCGAGAATTTCGACTGTATATCCGGCCGTTGGTCTTCTCACAGTTATGACAGTCGCGAGTGGCGAATGGCCGGCATTGATCGCAAGTTATACTGCCAGTTGTCAAGGCCTTACTACGTCTATCACGACCGATGGGTTCTCTGCAACTTGTCAAAACTCCAATATGTCCGCGCCGACACCGTAGCGGAGATCGTAGGCGACGCTCTCCGCCTTGGAGACGTTCTGCTGTCTCAAATCTGCTGGTCGACCGACCCTTCTTGTGCGATACCGTACAAGGGCAAGCTACATCGCGGCGCCTGGGCAGGCGATCGCTTCATAGTCACGACCATGGATAAGATTGAAGGATCGTTGCGCGAGAACGGAACATGGACCGATGTTACGAAAGATGTGATGAAGCAGGTTACGGAAATTTGGAGGTCCGTGTACGGTCCTGAGTGGCCTGAGCAGACGGAAGACTAGGTACTAGTACATACAGACTATAGCCCGCCACCGCGCCACCAGATGTTTTGTATCTTGTAAGACTACCGAACGCAAGTTCCCCTCTTGTAGACGGCTGATTTTGAGTCATTCACACATCGCATTCCACGTACGGAATGAAAGGGAAACGCTAGATACAGATGCAGGACTTTCCAATGACGGGTGTCCGCGAGAAGAAATTGTGAACTCCAATGAGAGGTGATTGTATAATGAAACAAAGATTTGGGTCACTTTAGTGGTAAGACAGGCCTAGCTGATGGCCGCGAAAGGACAAAACTCCCTCGAACATCGCCTGTAACTTACTGCTCACTCAGTCTGCTTGCTTCATGCATCCTCCGAATCTATCGAATGTCAGACACATTACCATAGCAAGCTAGTCAAATCAGCCACAACACCCCCGCAAGCTGACAATGCGTCGATAACACCAACATACTCAAACAGCGTATACCCTTAGTAACGGAGTGCGTGACCCTCGCAATGTCCTCCTCCCACAGGTGCCAAGTGAAAATCCCTCCAACGACATCCACTGAAGCGTATACGAGTCCAAGCGGCATCGCCATATCTATCCCGCACACCTAGGTCCCCGGGTTCGTAAGACCCGCCGGCGCATCCGTAGCATTCTTCTTCTTCCTGCCACCCCGCCTCTGCCCTCGGTGGGACTCCGTCGGGTACTCACACTTGAGGTGCCGGCGTTTACACTGCCTACAATACATCCCAGTCATAAGTACTCGACCGCATATCAACCGCAAAAGGGAAAGGCGTACTTGCACGTCCGGTCCGCACTGTCCTCGGGCGGCGGCCCGCAAGCGATCTTGCGCTCGCGGCAAAAGAGGCACGCCATGACGGGTTTCTTCTCCGCCGGCTTCTTGGGCATGTTGAGCTCGAGCGTGAAGGTCTGCTCGAGCATGCCCGGACCACGGGACTGCGGGCTGGGGCTGGGGCGGATGGTCTTCTGAGACTTCGACTTCGAGCGCTTCGTGACTAGGGATAGACAGCTGTCAGAGGAGTGGCCTGGAGCAGGGCTGAATGCAGACAACGGGAGCATGATTGAGAGGTCAGAGAATTACCTTGTCCGCCTTGGTTGGGTGGCGGGGATGCAGCCACGTCATCATCGTGGTGGTGGTCTGGTAGGCAGCCGATAGGGTGCTGAGGAACCTTGGTAATGGAAGAAAGGGAGGACTCGCAGGACGTCGCCGAGAGCGAAGGGTGCTGCAATAGTCCGAACGCGTCATATTCCAAAGGAAAAAAAAAAACCATCAGTCCCAGCGCGTTTCTATAAGGAACGAGAACATACGGTACGACCTGCTTCTGCTGCCGGCATGGTCTCAGGGTGTTCGCAGGAACTCTGACCAGGGTCTGAGCCTGGGGCAAGGGCTTCGACAGGGTTATAAGCACCTTGGACGTCCAAGACGCGGGAGTCGGACTGGTAGAGGGAAGGATGAGGGTTGGTGGTAACGCCGTAGAGCGTTGACCATGCCTGTTGAGAGGTCACAGCTATCTCCGTGCCCGCTATGTACCACATGCGGTCTGCGGAGGGAGAGTGACCAGCCGAAATATTGGTGGGGGCGGTACGGAACGCGGGAGGATCGGTGACAACTCGGTAGGGCTTGCTGAACGGCGGGGATGTGGGAGGAGGACTTTCGACTAGGGCATCTCGCAGCGTAGTACCGAAGTTTATAATAGGTCGAGGACCGGATGTCACAGCATCATCATGGTGTACGAGCGGTAAGGAGTGCTGCAACTAGTTTATACAAGGTGGGGAAATATGCAAACGATAAGGGCAAATTTACGTACATGAGTCTGGTGTACATGATAGTCGTTGATATCACCAGGACAGATCGTAGAGTTCGGGTCGCTCATTGGGCGATGGTATACACCAGCGGATGAGTATACCTGCTCCATCCCATCCAACGCATGGATCTCGCCGTCAGCGTACCCAATCCACGCGTAGTGCGCAGCGGTACCAGCAGAACCATAGAGCGGCGAAAATTCTTCTGGATGACTCAATAAACCAGTGGGGTTTTCCTCCATTGTAGCGCAATGGAAAGGCTACGACGGAGCAGTTCGCTGGCACCAGAGGCAGATAGAGCAGCGCAAGAAAGGCCGATTTGAGTGCAACGAAGGCACAGAGCGAGGAGTCGCAAAGGGCGGGATTATATACCGGTTAGCTAGCAGGCTCAAAGACAAAGGCAGGCTCTGATAAAGGCGCTATCGCTCAGATCGGCTTAGCCGCCTGACAAAAAGTGTAGTATGTAAATGAAGAAGGTCCGGTGGCACCACGTGCAGAGACTCACCACAAATCACGTCAACCTGGAGGGACCCACAAACAGCTATATTGACGTGCTAAGCTGCTCTCAGTGGCGAGCAGCGACGATGTGAACTTGAACTAGGCCATATTGGCAGCCAAGTTTATACCATCAGCGCATCGAGGATGGAGAAGTTCAAGACGCGTTCGTGTGGGACACGGAGGCAAAACCCACGTGGCCAATCCTCCCATTGGTGGTTACAACAAGGCTGGCGACCGGAAACGAGCACGACAGTCTGGGCGTTCGTATTTCAAGCCCATCTTTGACTCAGCGGCGTTCCTGGGTCCTATCTCCCGGTTTGGAGGCTGTCTCTGCCCTGGATGAGTCCGACTGCTCCCGGTGTTCTATGCGTTCTGTAATAGTTCAAGGCGCTGAATCCTATCAGTCTCTGATCTTTGTGGGCGCCATGGCATGTCCCGGAACTACGACCTCTGACTTTACCCGACAAGGATAGCATGATGACGATACTGAACGCTAGCAACCCCGGGGAACCCGATGTTGGGTCTGCTCTAGCCGACCAAACACAGATTCACTATATCGCTCGCTGATGATCGTTCTCTGGTGGGTATGCTGCTACGGCTATACCATAGTATGCATGTTCCGGAGCGTAATACACTTCCTGGTTTGAACCGCTCACTCAATCTACGGGGACGAGGCGCGAGGGCATCGGACTCGCGCCTCCTCCTTCGCGCGGACACGAACGCCGGAATACTCCATGGCAGGTCTAGACATTGTTTCCAGTAGATTTCAGCGTGGAATCAGCAAGCACAGAATTGGTAGCTGTGGACTGACTCGTCCGTTTCGAGACAGTGCCGTCTAGAGTGAATGAACGCTTTGCCGGGACTCCGGAGGCCTTCCAATGGGGATTAATGTATTTCAATCTAGCTGATATCCTGGAGCGCAGGAAGTCGTGTAAGGAATGCGAAGTTATTGTTAGATTAAAGGTGGGCCCATTGCTGCGGGTACTCAATCTCGTCTGCGGTATTCTTGCGAGGGTCTTCTCTCGAAGCCTTTAGTAACCCGTCCTCAAGCAGATCTAATTTCGACTCAATGAGTGGGACACAATTTATAGCCGCAGTGGGTAGGCATCTTTCACGTTCAGGGTTGATTGTGTTGCTTAGGTATCTCCAGGGCGTCACTTCGGAGCCGCGGTCAACTGGTGCAATGGAACAATACAAAGTGCTTCCTGATGATGAGCACTCGAAGTAAGCTGGGCTTGCAACTGCCTGGGTACTCTCGTGAGATGATTCAGCTGGCACGTTTATCTGACTCTTCGTTGTCCTCATCGTTCCTCCGGCGCAAAGACTGGAGGTGTCTGCTCCTTGGCACCGACTCTGGAGACCGAAGATACAATTCTGTAGGTCCGATCACTCAGTTATCTGCGTGTTCTTGCGATGTATCTCCAGCTCGCTTAATCAGGAAGTCGCAAGGCTCTCGTCACGTCGAGAACCGAGAGTGAAGGAACTTGAGTGAAGCACCTTGGTAATGGGAGTGTTGTGTTGTGCGCACTGCTGTATTTCTCATGCGAGATCCTCGGGGTAATGAACTCCTATAGGTGATGATGATCATTGGCTGCTCATGGTGCAGCGACCAGACTATCATACCAGACTCGAAACTCCAATGCTCCTTGAAGACATCGAAGGTCCACTATCGCTGTGATGATGATTTCACGCGTCGACGACTGGGTGCCCAGCGACGCGCTGAATACTCTGTCTACCCGCTCGCTGACGATGTCCTTCTGCTGATAACTCCTTTGGAAGTTTGGTCGCCTCTAGACTGTCTGGAGAGAGGGATTGAGGTAGTCGAAGGTGCGTTCCATGGTTCTTCTTTCCCTCTTCCCAAGTGTCGAATCCTGGCGTGGGTTACTATGGAAAAAAGGATGTCATGATTGCAAGGACGTGGAAGGCGTTATACGATGCTGCGAGTGGTGCTGTGTGATTTCGAACAGCCTTACAAGAACGAACGCTCGCTCCGTGACGGGTGTGCTTCCGGCAGCCTTTCCTCTCATCGGTTACGCATATAGTAGATAATTCTACGGGCTACTGTATGGTACAGGACGCACGTGGATATATAGCGATAAGATAGCAGGAAAAATACAAGATATGAAAACAGCGTGAGTTGCAACATACGAGAACAGGAGCAAGTGCGAAAGATAGCGATACAAGACAGCGCGGACGAGGGACAGCGGCAGAATACGACCATTGAGAAGAAATCCTTCCAGTCCGTACCAGAGCACTTCGTGGCGTACGTTTGGCGTTTATTAATTCATTACCAATGCTGCACGATCCATCAGTATGAGGTGGTCGGTCCTACAACTCCAGGAATGCTTCGTCCAGCTGCAACGGGACATCGATTATCTCGTAGGTCTGTTGACGAGCGCGCTTTTCTTCAAATTCGTCTTCACACTCATCATCATCTTCTCTGGCTCGCTTTCGGTCAGATTTTGTGGCTTGCATGTTAGAAGTGGATGCGTGCAACTTCGCAGGTGGCTTGTCCTGCGCAGCGACCGTCTCGATTTCTTGTGATTCCGAGTGCCTTCGTTCCCCGGGTGTTCTCCCGAAATCCTCACTGTCTCCCTGACAGTCCAGCGCTCCGCATGGCAGTACCTCTGGCGCTTTCGCAGTATCTTTGACCACCGATGATGGCAGGTCCTCGTCTCCTCCCCCCTGTTTCTTCACTTGACTTGGATGATCCTTCTCGCCGTCTCTGATTGTCTCGGACGGCTGGTCGCGAGTATCGGCGACCTGGTCGACCACGGACGATGAAGAGACTTCCTCGCCCTTTTTCGATTCCAAATCATCCTTCGGAAGCAGACTCGGGAGGAGACTCGGAAGGAGACTCGGAAGGAGACTCGGAAGGAGCCTCTTCGCTTGGGAGGGGTTCTGTCCTCCATCGGCCAAAATATCCCCCGTCCCTTCTACTGCATAATCAGGACGGTATCGCGGCCGTTCGTTCTCACTTGCAGAAGACTGCTCCAAAAAGGCAACTGCCCCGTTGCTGAGAGCACACTCGCTTTGTGAGTCGCCGTCAGCCGTTACAGAAACGTTGGTAAGGTCCTTGTCCGATTCATCGGTAGAGATGACTTTGGGGGTACTGGCGTCCACGTCTTCCTCGTCGAATAGATGTCGGAGTCCATAGTCGTCCGGGTCATACGCCTGATCAGCGTCAGGGTATCCATCGTCCTCTTCGAAGGTCTCGAATTCTGAGAGCAAGTCATCGGCTAGAGCACAGGGGATGGAAGGATGGTCCACCGCAGGCCAGTCATCGGCAGATAATGCCGTCTCGATCTCCTCCACGACGTTGACGTGAGTTAAAAGGTCGGCCTCTTCATTTGGAACACCTTCCTCTGATTCCTTCGGGATATACTGACTCAATACAAGTCGAGCAAGGCCCCTGATACATCGAGTTAATGGCGGATGATCGCGAACGCGGAAATGTTTGACACCATCCTGCAGGAATTGCATTCGGCCACTATACCCTTGCGGGAACATGTCGATATATGCCTCTTGAGTGAAAGTCGTGCGGACGTGGAGCACCACAACATGAAGTAGGACCCAGAAAAAGGCCTCCAGATTGTGCCACGCTTCGTGAGGGCAGGGGGCTTTGGCGCGATGGGTTTTTATTAACATAAGTGAGATGCACTCGGGAGAGCCCTTGGATAAATTTAGCATCAGCAGACAAAGAATTTTATTGATACGCTTACCCTCAGTTCCAACAACTTATCGTAGTTCTTGTCGTCCATGAAAAAGGTAGCACTTCCAACATTAACAAGGAATCCACGAGCACCTTGCTCGCTCGCGGGATCAACGCTTATCAGGATACTCTCCTCCTTAATATCGCGATGAATGTACCCTTGTTTTACAATGTTCCGATGTCCTATGCCACTGGTGAGTAAGAGCGTTATTGTACGGTGTTCTGCGACTTACCACGGACGGAATCACGGACGGCTTCCAGTAGCTCACGGGTGGAGCCGAATTCCGCCAGCGGGATGCCGACAGACGCAAAGACGCATCGGTATTGCGTTAAACAAGGAAAATTATGATTGGGCATGCGGTAGTTAATTACATCACCTATGGTGGTGTAGCTTTTCCTGCGGCGGTCAGGGACGTGTTTAAGGTCCAGCCAGGTATTTAACCTGGCAACTCCGAAGGCTCCCTCTTCTCCGTGTATTGCCTCATAGACAGCGCCCTCAGGCTCGGAAGCCGGATCCCGCCAGGAGTCCTTAATAATGACGAAGTTGTGTGGAGACTGGCGAGATTCGCCTGATTGAGGGACTGCTAACCACACCTTCGTGCCTGGGGAATGGAGTTGCTTTGACGCATGGAGAGGGGGACCAACAGACACGTATTTCTTCACTCCTTCATTTGGTGGGAATACAGAGATAACTTTGCTGCGTCTGCGCAATTCTTCATCCTCAAGTTGCAGAGCCTCCTCTCGTAATAAGCCATGCTCCCTGGCCTCCGTATAGGCGGAAAGGTCGATCCTCTCTATTGTGGCTGGTAACTTTATGGTCCAGTCCTCACCCGCACCAGGATATCCCTCCGCTCCTATGCCAGCCAGAAAATGCCACAAAGATGTTGGACGCTCCTTGTACCGGAAAGGCTCCGAGACTAGGACGGAGGAGCGATCCCATCGAACAAACTGAGCCTCCGGCCCAGTTACGCAAAGAGATAGTAAAAAACATCGTGGATGGCGATGGAATGCAACGGACGCTTGTCCGTGTATTCTCTTCCAGAGCGTCGCATTAATATTTCCGGGCACGGGAAAGAGGGTGGAAGTGTTCTTCTTCGCCCGTAAAAGAGCATCGGAGCCGAATTGAACGAAGCTTAGACCTTCCATCCACCGGTACTCGGAGCCGTCTTGAAGGTGGAAAGTAATGTCGGGCACGGCGTCGGCATCGTTGCTTGTGGAAGCTTCAAAACGAAGTGGAGATGCCCCGGGCCACAGCGCCCCAGTCATAATCTTCAGTGCGTCAATCTACAAGGAAATATCGTGTCACGGAATGCAAGGCTGACGAAGGAGCAGTATTTACCAGAATACGGCGCTTGATAGGAAGTGGCTGATTTTTTTGGTCTGAGAGCATGCCCAATAGATACGAGACCTTGTCTTTGGCGCCCCGTGGCACTGCCTTGTAGGCATTATCGATGATTGCATCGCGATACTGAAGGGGAAAAGACAATAGCAGGAAGTCGTAAAGAGACACTGGGCCGAAAAGAAATCGAGCCGCTTCAGCTGCCGACATGGCCATACACAAGAGCGGTCAGTCGCTGCTGAGGAACTCCAATATGGCTGGATGGTTATTGGTAGAGATCAGGCACGCGTAGGATTCGGTAGAGCTGAACGGGGGTAGGGACGCAAGGGAGAGGGAGAGGTCGTATTTAGGGGGATAAATAGCGATCAGTGTCTGGATGTCGCCAGAGCACAGGCAGAAGCCTGTCTGAAGGAAGGAAGGAAGCGGAAGTTGTGGGGTCGTGTTTGTCCAATCGATATCGGCTAGTTAACGCGCATGGCAATGCGGGAATTGCCACATTCCCAAGCATTGTGACTGTCACAACTGGCAATTTCGTGCCACTCACAAGCGCACTCGAAATCCGGAATTATCGCAAGGTCACTCAATAAAATGCATTACACCTCGTATTGGTTTTGAGGCCCTTGAAACTCAATATAGAAATCCGGATGACAGATACATGCCATCTCGATGTCTCAAAGAGATGGCGAGTCAGACAAAGTGAGTACGGATACGTTATTATCCATCATCCATCAATTTCCTCTCAAAGGCACGGTTGTCTTCATATTGAAGGATGGCTGCGTGGGCCCGAACACACTGGTCCGATCGTAGTGACGAGTTGAAAGCGGTCATATACACATTTAACGCTTGTGTCAGCAAGAAGAGAGCAAAAGCGTCGCAGCGTCAATGGAGTTCGAGTCTTGCATATCCGCTCTTCCACGTACCCCAAAGATGAACGGAGAATCGAGCGACGCAGCTCGGTTGGCGTCGTAAGTACTGCGACACGTAGAGTCTCACCCTAACCTTAATACCAGTCGGGGCGATTTGAAGCATGTCTGTGCAACATCTGGAGAGCGTCAAGGGAGGCTCTCCCGCTGCGTTGAGGGAGTGCAATGCGACATTTACTGCACAGATGAGCTCGTTGAGTCGCAGGAGGTCGTGCGTAGACCAACGGAATGTGGCCACAAATGGCTGCGTTATGCGACCACGTGACTACGGCGACGCGCACGTGATGCGTCCGAACGCGCGAGTGTGACAAGGCATCTTCAACCATTGCCACGGACGCGAGCTGAGCGTTACATCCCTCCTATGCACAGCCAATGTGCTCACAACTAATATTCCATTAAAGGCCACGTATACCTTTGGTATACTCCTAGAGAGCATTTGCCCTAGATCCAAGAAAAGAGCATCTATCCCATCGATGATCCGGCACTGCAAACCCATCCATCCCTCTATCAGGGTCTCGGGTGTTTTGGATACTTCTCTTCGGAATCAAGCTGCCAGAGCTAGAAAATAGCCTTTCCCATCATATGCACGACACCAGGAGACTCACCTTCCCGGCGTTGAATAAGTTCCGCGGGTCGGGCCATCGTGCGCTTGATCGCCTTCATGAGCTCGACAGTACATTCGCCAAGCTCCTCTTATAGTTATGGTACTCTTTCTTGCCTATGCCGACGCCATGCTCGCCCGTACCTAAGGGGAAGAAAGTGATCAGATCACTAACTAAAAGGCGGGGGAAGAAGAGGGAGACGTGCTCACATGTCCCGTCGAGCGCGATTGCGCGCTCAACCATGCGGTGGACAAAGTGGCGCACACCCGCGAGCTTGGCAAACACTAGGGATGCTTCGTTAGCTTAGAAACAGCGTAGGAGGGGCCGCTGACAGTCAAGCGGAGGTCGAGAAGAGGGAGTACGTACGTCGTTGAAGAACCACTCTCCTTTGGAGGTGCGTACCGTTATTCCTCCTCACTGGCAGATGCTTGAGAAGATAGACATGAGTGTCGTAATATTACAAAGAATTATATGCAACGGCAATGCTCGAGAACGTAGATACATCATACATGATAACGAAACAGAAGCAGACGTACTTGAAGTACCCTAACCAGCCACTGGCAGCGAAGGGAATGAAGGAGTCACAAATGATTGCAAAGCTGTCCCTATGCTTACACGAAGTCTAATACAGGGGGAAGACGGTCTTTAATCCCACACCCCGCAGGATTCCCCGGTACCGCATCCTTATCATTCTCGCTCTCGCGATGACGGACGCGTTTCACAGACGTGTCCTCCTCGTCCTCCCACTTTCGCTTACCCTTACTTCCGGATGCATGTTTGGACCCGAGGTTCGTTGCGGTAGTGTCCAAGGCATCCTTCTTGGTTTCCCGTATAAGGCGCAAGGGAGTGGCACTATCGTCTGGATGAGGCCAGTCACCGGTGTCCAAAGCGTCGCGAATGGCCCGCTTGATCTTCTCGTGAGTCTTGAGCTGGCAGAACATTTCTGGATGTGCATTACGGAGGAGTGTGTACACACTCGGGCGATGGTAGTGGCTGGCGACGAGATCTGCAATCTCGTGGATACAGGAGGTTAATGGAACGTGGATAGAGATGCTTTCTTCGGGAATCTGTGCGCTTCCGACGCCCTCGCTGCGCCGATCGGGACCGCATAACACTTGCAACTTTTTTGTGTGCTCTTCGACGAAGCGAATTCTGAGGTCGGGATCGGCAACGACGAAAACTTTACGGATCCAGTGCTCCGGCAAAGTATGCGGCCGATAGTGAGTAAAGGTGTACACAAGAGACCAGAACAAGGATTCCAGATCGTTCCAAGTCTCATGCACGGGTAGTTCCTTCCCCCGTTGCCGAACTCGAGCAGCGGATAGAAACTGCGTAGTTCCCTGGACACGGCCGTTACTCCAGATTGCAACCCCAAAAAAACGCACTTACCGTGATCTCACGAAGATCTCCGTCACTACCGGCCTCACCAATGACGGTGGCATACTCCATGTCAATGAGAAAGCCCTTGCACATTTCCGTATCAGGATAGGCACTGATCATGATGTTGTTTACACTGATATCTCGATGCAGGATGTCCTTCTGGCCCATGCACTCATGACCTGCCATTGAGATGAGCTATTGAGGAACCATTGGTGAATGGAACGAGGTCACGCACCTAGAACAACATCGTAGAAAGCCTCCAGCGCCTGACGGGTAGAGGAGAAGCGACTGAGGGGGATCCCTACGGAGTCGAGGATGCAGCGATGATGGACGCGGGGAGGACACTTGCGGGGTTCATAGTGTTTATTCAGTATCTCAGCAATCGTGCGATGCATCCCGCTGTTGGGGTCGGGAAGGTCGACAAGATCCACATCGCTTCGCAGCCTCGCCACCCCGGGAACATGCCCCTCAGGTCCATGAATGATCCCATATATATCGCCTTCGATCCTACGAGACGGGTCACGCCAGGAATCCTTGATGATGACGAAGTGGTCCTCGTTACTGCGCTCGGGGTTTTCAACCGTGCCTGGGACAGGGACGGCGAGCCAAGTACACGTTCCTCGCCCGAGAAGCGCCACGGAGGTAAAGAGCGGCGGACCAATAGTTATATACTGCTCCACTTTATCGCCAGACTTGGACGGGGCTATGATGGTACTACTCAGCGCCACCAGGGTGTCATCGTCAAGCTTTTCGGCCTCTTCAGAGATCAGACGCTTCTCCCTTGCCCGCTTGATCTTCTTCCGCAATAAACCGGCTTGACCCGTTGGGAGCGACTGGAACTGTATTGTGGGATCGATGCCACTGCCATTGTACCCCTTGGCGCCAAATCCGGAAAGGAATTGCCAAAGTGGCTCAGGATTCTCGTTGTAGTCGAAATAGTCAGAGACGAGCACGGCGGAACGGTCCCAGCGAAAGAACCTAGCACGACCACCGAAAACTCCGAGACCGCACAGAAAGCAGCGAGGTCGGCGCTTGAAAGAAACTGTGGCGTAGTGGGAGAACTGATTCCAGACTTCTGTCTGATATTGATGAGGAATATCTCGGCTCGAGTTGTCGGCGACATAGTAAAAAGGGTCTTGCTTCTCGTTAGGCTTGACTTCCACGAACGCCAACGCGCATGGCCAGCGGCAGGTCTTCCCTTTTCCTTTCGAATTAATGATGAGGTCTGGCATCCCAGGATCCTTAGCGTCTTTGGTATTATTGACGATGTCTAGTCTGATGGGACAGCGCTTGCCCCATAGTGACGAGCACATCGCATTCATCGCTTTCTTCTGCAGTAATCACTGGCAGTCAGTACTAATAACTCAAGAGTCAGTATCATTACGTACCAGGGGATCATACATCTGAAGTTCAACTCCATCCCCGGTAGGCACGCCCTTCAGTATTTTCGAGACTTTGGTCCGAGCTTTGTTGGATATGCCCTGCGGGGCATTCTCGACCACGTCCTCGAAGCAGCTTCGGAAGGTAATACGCATAAAATCACGAATAGATACAGGCCCGACCCGTAGCCTTGAGGCCTCACCCCCGGCCTCTGTCCGTAATGTGTCTAGAGTCACTTCCTGTGACTGAAATTTGCGGGAACAGGAGAGCGGCCGTTCCGACAAGAGAGAGGTCGGAGTATTAAACACAACGGGAGGTGGTTGTTTTCCGGGTGGTGTATGGGGCCGACCGCCATCATTCACAGCATCGCCAGCGGGTGATGTGGCACGCCCAGGAGCAGACGGAAAGGCCACCGGCACACCATCATCATTGAACGACGAAAGAGTTGGAGAGGCAGAACGCGTGGTATCAGGAGAAGGAGTGAGGTCAGGTTCAGACATTCGCGTTGTGATTACTGTCAGAGAGCAAGAGGAGGCAACGAAGAGCGACGGTGACCCACCGAGCTTATGAAGTCGCTGGAATTTGAACTCCGCTGTTCATTTTCCATTGTTTGTAACAGCCTCTGTGTGGCTTTTTGATGCACGTGTTGATGAGGACGCGACCAATTGCTACTTACTGGCAACGAACGCGTGTTGTGGCAAGAGAGAGAGGCGTATTTCCCACGTCGCCGCGGACCCGTGTGAGATGTGTCACGTGACTAGTGTGACGTGACCCGCCGGTTTAGCCTCAATTTACAACAAATTGACAATGACAAGCTCCTCGTACGGAAAAGGCACACGTTGGAGGGCTTCCGCGGAAAGCTACCGTGTACTGTACGCGGACTGTCTGTTCCCAGCAACTTATACGTTTATGCCAGGAGGTACACCTCCAAATTCACGAGCAATTCTTATTTGCATCCATGTTCACATTGCATCATTTCCCCCGACACAGCGGCGTGGTAAGTGGGCTCGAGAGATGGAAAGAGTCTTGCATAAGGTACAGTCGCCCGCCATCTCCGGGACAGTGTTCGTTCGCAGTGCCTTCAATGCCTTTTCCCGATTCCCATGCTTGTAAGGAGGAAGGTTTTGTTGAGAAGATATGTGCCGTCTGCCATACACATACCACGAGCTCTCGCCGTGAGATAGTTATGTATGTGAACAATTCCATGCTAGCGCTGTAACCCGTGCTATATGTTTCCAGAACGATACTTAGAGCCAGTCCGGATCTTTACCTTATAGGCCGCTTCAAGGACAAACAACCGCAAAATCACCGGAAACGGCAGAGAACGGTCGGAAGGGGGTCAATTGCCTTCTCGAGACCCTTAGCGCTCTGCCTGTTGGTATGTAGTGGGGCGCCGTTTGGCTTTGGTTAGACTTGGAGGGTACATGCCGGCAGGTGCCCCACGAATGAAAATTCTCGACTGGCTCTATCGTTATGCAAACAGCTGTAACGCCACTTCGGTTTCGCCCTCATTGTGGCGATTACAGCTGTCCAAAAATATCATGAGAATCGCAACTTTTTGCGGTGCTGCCCTCTTTGTGAAATTGGTTAAGTTTAGTATACGCCGGGGTCAAGCAAGGAGACTGCTGCATGTCCGGGGACGGTTACATACTCATCAATAGCAGCCCTCGGAACGTATCTGACAGCATATTGCTGGACAACAAGGTCACCAAGAGGGTAGAAACGACGTAATGTTTAAATTTGGATCTAGTGGCCACTATTTTCCTTATCGGGAATACCCGGGGCAAAAGCACGCACTGAGTACATCACCCATATTGAGCATGCACAAAACTTTGAAAATAACTGGTCAAGGGTCAAACTTTTTTCATGATTGTCCATTGCACAGTCAGTGAAATGAATTAGAATAATACTACTTTTGAGTGTGCAGAAATCTGATTGTGACACCGGATATGATCTTTGTTCAGCACTGTTCATTGAACTTTCATTTGTTTTGCAAGGCAACACTATGAAGGAAATTTGACCTTTGTCCACTTCCTTTCACACTTTCTCGGTGGCTCAATATGGGTATTGTACCCAGTGCGTACGACTATCATTAGGCGTGCTCAAATTAGACTCGCGACCAGTCCTGTACGCAATGCACACACCTGCCTTTTTTGGTTTCGAAGTGATCTGTATTTAATGAAAGTTATTCCATATTTTCATGACTACATACAAGTGCTATAGCTATGCTCATCGTCGGCGACGACGACGACGGGCCTACCGACGAGTGTTATGATTTTCCCATGCTTATCTCATTCCATTTCCATTCCGAGCATTGCTATTGGACAGTACCTTTCTCTGAGTAGAACTTCCCATGGACGCTATCTTCTTCCCACACGTTATCTCCCTTGACTCACCTTCTACCAATAGGCGCCCTTGTATTTCTCATTTCTCTGAGTTACGTTCTCACAGGATAGCTTACGCGTCCTTTCTTATTGTTCTCTTCTTTGGGTATTAACCCCTATACCAGTTACTATATATACTGTAGGAAAACCCATGTATTCCTTAGTTCAACCTCCTGTTGAATACAGCGATTACCTGGACTCTTGACTTGACCGTTGGCATTGGCCCGGCCAGACCTACCTTTCAGTACGCTTACTGAGGTAGTGACGACATAACTGTTGGCACGTAGCCCAGTTATCTCAAGACGACTAGTTAGGACATCGCTTCCTAACATTAGGTTGAACTCTTCTACGACACTTGCCGACTTCTTCAAGCCTAGGCAACCCCTCCTCTA